TGTTTGTAGGCTCCCTGAAGAGAAGGGAAAGCTTCATTGTGACCTTCTAGTACTTAAAGAGGGTTTATAAGCAGGAAGGAGACTGAGTTTTTACATGAACAGGTAACGATAGGACACAGGGGAAAGGCTTTAAACTAAAAGAGGAGAGATTATATTAGATATTAGGAGGAAATGTTTTCACTCAGGGGGTGATGGGGCACTGACAGGGCGATATGGCACTGAGGAAGTGGACAGGGCCCTGAGGAGGGGATGGCACGGCCCTTAAGGTGGCCGGGGCAAGGAGAAGATACGGACCATTGGAAGTCACAGAGCCTCGAGGATGAGACGTGGCCCTGAGGAGGAGATGACAGAGCTGTGAGCAGAACACGGCCCAGAGGACGAGGTGACACGGCACCTACCTGCACCCCGTCAACAAGGCCAAACCGCAGCGACCCCGCTACAGCAGCGCGGAGCTGCGTGCATCGTTCCCATGGCAACAAGCACTTCCGGCCGCCGCACCGGAAGTGGCCGAGAGAGGCGGAAGCGGGAGGCGGAGCGTTTCCTCCCGCGGGGCCGAGGCCGCGCTACGGCGGCCGGGAGGGGTCAACGTGCGGGGGAGGCGAAGCGAAGCGGATCGGAGCGGGGTAGGGAAGCGCGGTGAGGCGGTCGGGACGATGCTGGAGGCGGCGGCCGCAGCCGAGCCCGAGTTGGACCCCGAGGACCTGGTGCATTTCTCGGTCGGCGACCTGCCCAGCCGCGGCTACGGCGTGATGGGCGAGATCCGGAGGCAGGGCAAACTGTGCGATGTGACCCTCAAGGTGCGGGCATGGGGAGCTCTGGTGGGGGGTGAGGGGTTTGCATGGGGTTGGCGGGGTGCGGGGGTCCCTGCGCTGCTTTGGGGGGGAAAAAGTGGAGCTGGGGGTCCCCGTTTGGGGGGGAAGAGGGGAGATGAAAGCCTCGCTGCTCCCTTAAGAGGGGAGAAAGGAGGAGGTGAGGCCACCCCAAATCCCCTTGGTGAGGAGAAGGGAGAGCTGAGGGCCCCGTTTTGGGGAGAGAACACCCATTTTGCAGGAGGAAAAGGGGGGCTGAGGGTCCCCACCCAAGTCCTTTCAGTGAAGAGGAGGAGCCGAGGGCCCCGTTTTGGGGGGAAAAGAGGGCAACTGAGAGCCCTCATTTTGGGGAGAGAGTGAAGGAGACGAGTGTCCCCATTTTAGGAGGAGAAGGTGGGAGCTGAGTGCTCCCCTTCAGCCATTCTGTTACTGAGAAGTGTGGGAGGAGGGTTCCCTCCTCCCCATCCCTTTTGGAATCAGGAAGGGAGGGAGCTGAAAACTCCAGTATGGGGGAAGAAGCTTGGAGGGATAAGGGGGATGCTGAGGGACTCTGTTTATGGGGGAGCTGAGCAGCCCCCCGGCTATTTTGGTGGTAAGAAGTATTACCATTAGGGATATCCCTTTCCCATCCCTTTTAGAACAAGGAAGGGAGGAGCTGGAGGCCTGAATTTTAGGGGGGTGAAGAGGGGAGCTGAGGGTCCCTCCTGTAGGTGAGAAGCAGGCGGAGCTGAGGGGCCTCCCATGTCTCTCTGCTGGGCAGAAGGGGAAGATGAGGGTCCCCTCCTTTAAGCCAAAGAAAGGGGGGACTTACCCTTCTCCCCCATCCCCCAGTACTCTTTGGTGGGAAGAAGAAGGAGCTGAGAGCCCCCATTTTGGAGAGGAGGAGAGGCAGCTGCAGGCCTCCTCCAGCTATTTTGGTGCTAAGAGTATGGAAGCAGCAATCCCCATTCCCTATCATTTTTGGAACCAGGAAAGGGGGTAGGTGAGAACCAGGATACTATGAGAGGTGATGGCATCAAGATGGACTCAAGATGGTCAGGTTGGATATTAGGAAGCACTCCTCAGAAAGAGTGGTTGGGCATTGGCACAGGCTGCCCAGGGAGGTGTTGGTGTCACCATCCCTGGAGGTGTTCCAGAACAGTGGAGATGTGGCACTGAAGGACATGGTCACTGGGCATGGTGGAGTGAGCTGGGGTTGGACTTGGTGACCTCAGTGGCCTTTTCCAACCTTCATGATTCTATGATTCTCTGCAGCAGCATGGTGAGGCTATGGCTGCCCCAGAGCAGGTTTCTCTCACTCAGTCGATCTGCTCTGCTTCATCTAGAGGTGGACAAGAAAGAGTGTCACAGTCCTGGAGTATCTCAGATAACACCCCAGTGTTGTTCTGCAAAAGTCACTGGAAATAGTTTTCATATCTGTAGGTTTACCATCTCAGAAGTGCTTTTTTTGGTTTGTCTTATCTTTATGTTATCCCTTGCAGAGTGGGAAATGTAAAGAAAAATTAAAATCTGGCTTAAAGAGATCTCCAGTGCAGCTGTTAGGATGCATGTTGTTGCTGTGCTGGGCAGCTTGATGGCTGAGGGCACCATGTTGGCCCCACTCTTTTTTCATATTACATTTTTTCACATCAACTATCGTTGTCTGGGCAGGGTGTGAAGCCTTTCATTTCTGCAAAAGCTTAAAATGTATTTACAGCACGCCTCTGTCTTCCTTAAAACGAGTCTTAATTTTTTCCACCACCAGGATAATTTGTAATTATACCCAGGAGACATCACAACAACACATGATGTGTTTGACAGAGGGCTGGCGGTGTATTTCCACATTGGTTTGAATACCAGCCTAGCTTTCCCTGTACACCATGACCTCAGGATCCTCCATTAGTTGGATGGCTCGGGCTGTTCTGAGCCATCATGTCAGAATTTTCTGTCTCTCTCTTTCTCTCTTTCAATCAGATTGCTCAGCGCTGGCCAGTGCGTCCTGTAGCAATTGAATTAGTGCTGCTGCTGTATGAGAGCCAAGCCATTGCTCAGTACAAGGTGTCTCCTCCAGCTTGCTCAGCACGCACTGTTGGGTGTTGGGAGGGTAATTATTCTTAGCTGAACTTCGGAAGTGTCTTAGAATCAGTTTGCTGGGCACAGCTGACGTAAAAGCTGCTTTGCCTTGACCTTGTTCAGGAACGCATTCTGCATCTGATGAGGAAGCTGAATCCTGCAAATGGAATCGTCTGGCAGGGGCAGAGTACTGAACCCAAATAGGGATAGGATGCAGCAGCATTTCAAGTTGCTACCTGGAAGAGCCTGCAGTGGATCCCAATGCATGTTGCAGCACTGCAGTGGGTCTGTTGCCTTATTTTTACTCTGCTTCTTCTAAACCATTGGCTTAAGAAAGAAAAACACCTGCCCAGCACTGCTGGGTTCAGGGTGTGACTGCCATCCCAGCTCGCAGCTGAAACAGGAACCAGCAGTGCTTTTGTGGCATGGCTCTGTTTTTTGATGGCCTCTTTACTGCTATCAGTGTGGGCTCAACCATTCTCTCAGCAAAAGAAGTGTTTGCTGTACAAATGGGCTTCACATTATTAGGAATCATTGGTGCTCCTGCTTGTTCGTTGTAATCATTTCCCCTTGTTAAGCAAGATGAGCATTCGTTCATCCAGATGGAGGTGTGGAATTGGTTCTCCTTTCTCAGAAACCACACTGCCACTGTTTGTGTTGCTCTATAGGAGCCTCAGCAGCATCGGGCAGCGTGGTTTAGACGTGATTATGAAGAAGTGCTGATGTGCCTGGCTCTGTCAGATCTCTGATTATTCCAGCTCACCCTTGGGAAATCTGCTCCTGGTTGCCCATGTGAAAGCAAAGCGTCACTGGGCAATAACTGAGCCACGTGTATTCGTCAAGGCTTAGGAAGTGTGCACCACCCAGAGCCAAAGCTCCTACCCCGTGTGGATGGCTGAGATTACAGACTGGGGAAGCCTTTCTCTTTCCTGCCTTCTCAGTAGCTGCAAGTCAGCTCCTTCTACAGATGGTCCATGCAAGCATCTGCCCTTTCAGTCTCCCTTTGGCAGCACCCTGAAGTAGCTCAAGTGTTTACATAAAGGATAATTTTAGGATGATTTGGAAGAAGCAAACGTGAATAAACGGAGGGAGAAAACAGAGGCACACCTTATGCTGTGGTCACTGTTAATTTTCCTTTGGTGAAAGCAGGACTTTGCTTACTAAGGCCAAATTTCTGCTATTGCTCCATTCTTTTGAGATCCAGGTCTGAGGACTCCTGGACTCTGTCTCAACACAGCTGTTGGCAGCTTGTGCTGGTAATACTGCTGAAAATCCTTTGCTGTGCACATGGGATTTGTGTGTCTCTCCTCATCCTATATTGGTGTTACTGCAGAGCTGATTGTGGGTGTGCTGGTGATGAAGAAGTGCCAAGCACGGAGCACTCCTAGCACGTGCAGAATGGAAGCTTCCCTCCTGCATCATCCCGGGCCCTAAGGCTTTGTCACCTGGGGGTGACAACACTTGTCCACCTTTAGAGATGGGTTAAGGTTTGGCATGCCATCTCTGCCCATGGGGGCATCTCCAGATGTCACCTGCTCAGCTGGTTGGATGTGACCTCAGTCGCTTACTGTGGGTTTTTGGATGCATCTGGGGAGGTTGGATTTCTGTTCCTATCCCTCTTTTTTCCCCTGGAGATAAATATAAAGCAGTTTCTCGGGAGATCTTGGGGTTATTTTCAGCCTGTGCTGCTATTCAGGTTCTCTCTGGAGCTCTTTACACCCGAAGCATTTCACACTTGGTATCATTTTTTTTCTCAACGCAAGGCTTTGAGCTTTGAGTGTTATTTCCACTACCAGCACTGTCATTGGTTTTATCTTATTGGGAGAAATCAATGAGCTTTTTACTAAGCCAAGTGTTTTATCAGAGCCCTGCATTAAGGGTTTGGGTTTCAGCAGGGTCCCTGAGAGCCCCTGTTGCTCTGCACATGTGCAGGCACACTGCTGGGATCACCAAACAGAACGAGCCCAGGGGCAGAGAGTAGCTCTCTAATAGGAGCTGCTCAATTTAAAACCAGATAATCTTTTATGCACATGAGACCTTCACAGTAAGGATCTTAAGGAAATCTTGTTCTGCAGAAGTAAGGAGCTGCTTTGGATTACAGCTGGAGTCGTTTTCTCTCTTCTGTCCCCATGTCTCAGCTGCTCTGGGCTCTATTCCCTTATATGAAGACAAATATTTTTAGCACTCCATGTAGACATTGAACCTGAAGCGTTAGCAGAAACCACGCGTTTCTGCACTGAGCTTTGTGCTCGGCTTCCTTGTGCAAAGCAAGCAAGCTGATTTCACAGCATGCTTGCACTGCTTTCATTTACTTCCCCTAACAGAAAGCCACCAGCTTAATTCCTACAATGTCCTCTCTGAGTCTGGAGTGCCAATACCATGCCAGGTCAGGAAAGAAGTGTGTTTTTAAAATGATCTTTGAAGCGGAGGGCTTGGGAGACATCTCAGTTCTGCAGTGTATTGTCACAAAAACAATAGATGCATTTAGTACACCTACACCATTTTTCAATGGAGAAAGCTTCATTGTGCCCTGGAACTAGTTAGGATTTCGTGGGAATGTAAGGGAGAACGTGCCTTCTGTTAATCAGCTAGAGAAAGGGAGTTCTGTCTCATCTGTGGTTAGAAGGATGCTTTGCAAGCAGCAGTTCTGTTCAACAGAACTATATTCTGCCAATACATAAGGCAGTGTATTTTGCCTTAAAAGAAAGGCCCTGGTTCTTATATTGTAGGAGAGAGAGTGTATCATAGAATGGCAGAATGGCTTGGCTTGGAAGGGACCTTAAAGGTCATCTCATTCCAACCCATGTTGTGGGCTGGTTACCTCGCACCAGCTCAGGCTGCTCAGGACCCCATCCAGCCTGGCCCTGAGCACTTCCAGGGATGGAGCAACCACAGCTCTCTGGGTAGCCTGGATGCAGCACTCTCAGTGCTCAGAACTCAGGAAGTTCTTCTCCCAGTCTGTACTCGGAGCTCTTATTGCTCTGACCCAACACTTTGCACTTGGCACTGTTGAACCTCATGAAGCTGTTGTGCATCCACTTCTCAAGGCTGTGCAGGTCCCTCTGGATGGCATCCCTCCCTTCTTATTGCCTCGACTGCACCACTCAGCTTGGTATTGCCTGCAAACTTGCTGAGGGTGCACTCGATCCCATCGTTTATGTCATTGATAAAGATGTTGAGGAGCACTGGTACCAAGATGAGCCCCTGGGGGATGCCACTCATGACTGCCCTCCGTCTGGATACAGAGCCACTGACCACAGCTCTATGACTGCAACCATGGTAACTCTTTATCCACTGACTAGTCCACCCTTCCAACTCATATCTCTCCAATTTAATTGTGTGGGACTATGTCAAAAGCCTTGCAGGAGTCCAGGTAGACTTGCTTTTCCTTGGTCAACTGATGCCAGCACTAAAAAGCCAACAGACAAATACAGTGTTTTGTGATTACTTCAACAGGAATGCTCTATTCCCAACCCCATCACAGGTGCTGCCACAAAACGATCTGTCACTGCCAATGAGAGCTTCCCCATTCAGCTCAGAGCTGAAGCTCCCCACTGAGATCCTGCTTTAGATGCCCGTCCTGTGATGCTGCAGAGTGAGGGAAGCTGAATGCTGAGTGCCAGCCTGGTGTACAGAAGCATCTCAGTGGTTGGTCTGTGCCATTAGGTAGGCAAAGAGACCCTGTTAGCAGAAGGGAGTGCTGCTGCAGGAGGTGCCAGCTGTCCCTTGGCACCACGCTGCCTTTTGGAAAGGGTTTTTTGTCCTCTGGAGCGTGTGCAGCTGTATGGAAACACAAAACTAAAAGCAAAACCATTCCTTTGAACAGAAAGGGCAGTCAGCTCCAAAGGCAGCTGAGTGAGAACTGCTCTGTAAAATCAAAACAAGAACTGAACAGGCAATCCCTCTGCAGCACGAGTGCTTGGCAATGACAGGAATGGGGTTACTCAATCCAAGAGAGCCTTTTTTGCCTTTTTTTTAAATGTTCTGCTGGTGCAGGCAGGGCTGTGATGGATTTGGAGCAAGTGGAAACCTGCTGGTGGACAGAAGTTGGACTTGATGATCCATGAGTCCTTCCAACTTGGGTTATTCAGTGATTCTATGAAAGGAAGAGGCAAGGAGAGCATAAATTGTCATCAAGCTGCAGTGTGACTCCATTGGGTGGACAACGCATGTAGGAGAGCTGAATGCTTCTGTGTTCAGAGGGGAGGGAGATGGCTAGTCTTTGGAGATGGGAAGCACTTTCTGAATCATAAGAGGCAAGCATGAATTGAGAGGGCATGTGCTGTGTTCATCCTCAGAAGTATTTTTCACCTCACACAGGAAAAACAGGTATTGCCATTTGCCTGCAGCGAGAAGTTGAGCTGTTCCTTCAGGACTTGTCATTAAGCACTGATGGTACAAACATAATGATGGATTCTGGACTGGAGATCCCTGCTCATAAATCACCTCAAGGGCCTTCTATCATTGCATGAGCAAGTTAAAAAAATAATAAATAAAAATTGCAAGTCTTATCTTGCACAGCACCTCTTGGCTGGTGACGATGGCAGCACGCAGCTGGCCCAGCTATTTGCTGATGCAGCCACAGAGCTCCCATCCTCCCTTTCCCCTGCTAAAACAGCAAAAATGATTCCCTTTTTCACACAGCTTGTTTCTGTTTTATTTCCCTGACCCACAAAGTCAGCACGAGGGAAGTGTGGATGGGGATGCAGGGCTCAGCTCTGTGTGGGGACGCAAGGTTTCTCTTGCAGCAATTAGAACCAGCTCTGATGAGCTCACAGCCCGCCTTGCTGGTTCAGGATCATCCCAATGTTCTCACTCTGTTAAATGGAGCATTCATTCCATAGGGTGAAACCCTTTCCTTAAAGAAGGGTGAAACCCAACCAGGGAACACGCCTGTCCCTGGGAGCTGCCGAGTGGATGGGTGGTGCTGCCCAGGACAAGGTGTTTCTTCCCTGTGATGATACAGCTCTCATTAACCCAGCTGGAATCTTGCTGTGTGACTGTAAGTGATGGCTTCTGCAATAACCAGGTGCATTATTTCTAGGGAGGCATTGCATCGTGTGATGGAACTGTGGCTGCACATCCCCGAAGTTGTGCCACCCTTGGGATCGGAGCGCAGGGATTTGCTTGGAGAGCACAGCTCTGCACAAATGCTCAAGCATTGCTACAATCTGTTGTAATTGCACCTGGAGGATAAAGTTTTTCACAAATTGTGTTTGTGTAGAAGTGAGATTCAATTCAGATGTTCTTGCACCCTTCAGTGGTTGCTCAGGCACATTCTGCACTGCTCAGCTGGAAGCTCTCATTCAAACCCAGCCAGAACTTCAGAGCCCTGCTAACCCAACATCAGTGCTGCAGTTGGGCTTGAGCCATGCTGTGGTGCAGCACTTGCTGCTGTAGCTCTATTAGAGCTGATTCCTCCCTCCCTCCCTCCTAAGGAGCACCATCTTCATCTGCCAAGCTAAAAAGCCATCTCATTCCTGCCTCCTTCTGCATCGTAGTCAGTTGCCACAGTCATCTCCTGTAGGGTGAAGTTAGCAGAGCAGGGAGAGAAGGGGAAAGTCCCATCTCTTGCTTACACGTGTTGTGCAGTGCTCGGTTCCTCTTTCTTTTTTTTGAATGCTGGGGATTTTGCTTTCTAAACTCCCAGGAAGTCATATTTACAGAGTGCAGTAGATCTGGGCTTAACGGAACACACAAGGCACTGGGTTTGATTTAAGCATAAAACCCCAAACACAAGTAGCATTTCTGCTAATAAGCTCCTGGACATGAAAGGGCAACAAAGCTTTTTGCAGTGAGGTGCATAGGAGAACAGAAGGATTCTTGGCTGACCTGGAGAGCAGAGCACCCGCTGCGCCAGCTTGTTTGTCCTGCTGAAACAAAGCTCAAAAGGGAAAACCTTGCTGAAGTAGGAGAAAAAGACAGTTCTGTACAAGCTCAGATAGGTGTAGACTAGCCTGAGTCAGGTTACTGTGGAAATTAGGAGAAAAATAACAACTCTGACCTAATGAAGAGGAGTCATCAGAACAAAGATTGGTGTAATTTTGCAGTGAGTAAAATCTTTTCAGCATCTGCAGTGAGAAGTGGAATTGGAGATGCAAGAACCTCTCCTTCTTTCAAACCTCTCTCCATGAAGGCTTTTAGAGGATATAAATGTGAGCTGGTGCAGCAGATCCTATGTAGGCTGAAAGGAGATGAAGTTCTGGTAAAGGTGACTAGCTTTCTGTCTATGGAACTGTAATGCCATCACAGTGGTAATTAGGAGGCTGAAAACCAGATTCAGAAGTTCGAGTTCAAAAGACAGAGTGTTCTTTGCAGATTGAAATTGTCTTTCAGCCCTCAGGCTGGCAGAGCTGTGCAACAGGGAATCATCTGGACTGTGTGACTGGTAGTGGATGCTGCTGACCTTTCCTCCTACTTTTTTTCCTCTCTTTTAGGTGGGGGACCATAAATTCAGCGCTCACCGGATCGTGCTGGCAGCTTCCATCCCCTACTTCCATGCCATGTTCACCAATGACATGATGGAGTGCAAGCAGGATGAAATTGTCATGCAGGGGATGGATCCCAGGTAAATTCCCCAGGCACCTGTGCAGGATAACAAGTCCTTTGCAGGACTTAGTGTTGTATGTGCAAGGCTTGAAAGCCTGCCCTCCATGAACTGCCCTAGAAAGGATTTTCTGAAGAGATTTTCAAGGAGGCTGTGGATGCCCCATCCCTGCAGGCATTCAAGGCCAGGCTGGATGTGCCTCTGGGCAGCCTGGTCTGGTGCTTGGCGACCCAAGGGGGGTTGAAACTAGATGAGCATTGTGGTCCTTTTCAACCCAGGCCATTTTATGATTCTGTTAGCAGTGCCCTGTTTCAGGTTAATTGAATTCAGTAGATTTCTCACTCTTTCTCCCTGTTGTTTAGCGCACTTGAGGCTCTGATCAACTTTGCCTACAACGGACACCTGGCGATTGACCAGCAGAACGTGCAGTCTTTGCTGATGGGAGCCAGCTTCCTGCAGCTGCAGAACATCAAGGATGCCTGCTGCACCTTTCTCAGAGAGAGGTAAGGGGCTGCCAGTTAACTGTCTTCTGCAGTAGGAGTCATTTCTGTGGTGTGGGTTAAGCCAACATGATAAGAAGGTCTCCATCTCCTGAGGCTCACTGTTCTTCTTGTCTATAAAATACATTGTTTGCAAGATGGGGACAGTATGTTTGCAAGGTCTGGGGACAGTATAAGGCCTTGGCCAGCTGTGGGAATTATTATCTACAGCAAAACTAAGTGAACGCTTCCCTTGTTCAGGGTTAGCCAGGTACACAGCACAGTGCTGCCTCTCCATTAACAAACCCATCCTCCCAGCAGTTCCCCTTCCTGCTGCTGACTGTATGGGAGGGAAGGAACAAACAGACCCACAGTTGGATAGGAAGCAGTGACAGAGTTAATTGATTCCAGTTTTTCCAGTCCTCTAGCTGATGTTTGGCTGTAAGATCATTCCAGCAGCATGATCTGGAAAGCAAAAAGCAGGGTTATTCCTTGGAAACATACCACACAGCTTCAGGCTGTGCCAGGAACCTGATGTGCTTTGCTTCCCCCTCGCTCCTCAGCCTGATTTCTCTGCAGCTGCTCTTTGTATTCCATGGTGGGAGATTAAATACACATACTGTGTCTCCTCTAGTTGTTACATCACCTCTAAATAGAATGAAAACTATGGATTGAGGAGAAAAAATTGTTTCCTCTGTTTCAGGGTGTTCCATGTGAATCTTGAGTTTTTGTTTGTTTAAAACGAGGTTATATGAGATTGTAGAGTATTCAGGTTTTTTTGCAAAACCATTTTATGTGGGGTTGTGGATGTGACAAAGTTGGAAAGAGGTGGGTAGTGTTGATTTAGGAGCCCCTGCTAGCTTTAGGTGGCTAGATCTAGATCTAAGCTAATCAAGGTTGTTTGGTTTGCCAGAAGTTTGGCTGCCACGCTTCTCCCAGATCTGGAGCAATGGAGTATTCTGAGTTAAGTCCTGGCTTTGAGTGCTTGGCTGTCACACAGTAACAAGAAAACTGGTGTACTCTGTCCATTCAGAAGAGCTGGAGCACGCACACCAAGCTCTCTTTCTCATGTGGGAACATGACTGGGATATTTTCACGTGCGCTGTGCTGTAAGCAGGCCCTCTCTGGCTGTTGTCTCACTTCCCAGGGGCAGAGCTAGAATGAACACTGCTGTGAGATGCACTCTGCCCCCCACATAAAAACTGTGTGAGCTCAGCCTGAGGGTCTGCATAAGTGTAATCTGGGTCCAGAGTAATTAAAGTGTCAAAGAGGAATGCAAAAGCGTGACTTTGGACCTGCATAGATTGGAGTGCGTGGGAATGCAAGAGGCAGAGCTTTGTAGAGTAACTGTGTGAGCTTTGAGGGTCATCCTAGTGTGAAAGTCCCCCTCCATCAGCACTGTGCATTGCTTTTAGGGCAGTAATTTAAATCAGGGCATTTGCCCCAGACCGAGTATAAGTGGTTTCACATCCTTGCCTGCATCTGGACACCACTGCCAATAACTGGGCCCAAATGTTTCCCCATGTGAACAGCACATACTTCAGTATCTGTTGATCAGTGCCACAAAGCATCACAACTGGTGGCTCTTCTTGAGCAATGACATGCCAGTGCTGGGCAGGGCTCCTCGCTGAGATAGAAGTGGCCAGGTCACATTGCTGCCTCTGTAGAGCACCTGCTTGTGGTATCACCTTTTCCAGTTGTTTATGCTGCTGAACAGCTCTATGGAGCTGTTTTTGCTCCAAACTGTAGCAGTGCTTCTCACTATGTTATCTCCAGCTGTTAAGGCATCTCTGGTGAGAAAACCTCCTTCACATTAAAAAATGGCTTTAAGAGGATGTAACAGGTGCTGTTCTGTTCTGTGCATACCTACAATCAATACCTAGTTACACTTTTTGTGCTGTGTGCTCAAAATGCAGCTTTGTCCAACACTGGAGTTACAGAGGTACACAGCCTAGGAGGCAGAGATGTGGGAGAGGGATTGCTGGGCATGGCCTCACACTTCCCCCAAACTGACAACCCGTGACCTTAGAGCAGAGCCAGCAGCCTGCCCAGTGCTGCTTGGCAGGTTTAAGGAGAGATTTTAAGTCGTGGTTTCCATCCTTTGGGTCTGCTTGCAATGCTGCCATGAACCCATTTGCTATTTTGTCATCATTCTGTTAAACTGACATTACTTTTGCTCTCCCTCCCCTTGCCAGGCTTCACCCAAAGAACTGCCTGGGCGTGCGGCAGTTTGCAGAGACGATGATGTGCGCAGTGCTCTACGATGCTGCCAACAGCTTCATTCACCAGCACTTCGTGGAGGTATCCATGTCTGAGGAGTTTCTGGCACTGCCTTTTGAGGATGTCCTGGAGCTCGTTTCTCGGGATGAGCTCAACGTGAAGTCTGAAGAGCAGGTATGTGTGTGGGTACAGCTCTCAGCAGAGCCACTTGTTTCCTTGGAGGATGAGGCTGAGGGTATAGGCAAAAGGAGCCTCCTTCCAGCCCAGGACTTCTCTTGGAGCATTATTTTCCATTGAATTTGCCATCAAGAAGCTCCTCTGGACAGGCTGAGCCACTCTGGAATGTTTCAGCATCTTTGACAATCTGTCAGTGTAGGAGAAACAGCCTGTCCTTGAGCCAGAAAACCTGTTCTTCTCCTTCTGAGGAGGTGACTAAAAAGCAGTCCTACCACTGCCTCCATGTAGGATAAGAGAGGGCTTCTTTAATGGATCTGTTTGAAGTGGCCCAGCAGACAACCCAGCTCAGGTTTTTACTGAGAGAGTCCTGTGAACCAAGAGCGGGTGACTCTAGGAAACCAGGCTCCCTTTGTAATCTCAAGTCAGGAACACAATGCATCTTACTGCAAAGTAGCCACCCAAAACAGAGCAGATGAATGGTATTAGATTGAGGTCTGTGTCTCCAGTGATTGTGGAGGGAGCCTAGAGAGACCAGCTCAGTGTTTCACAGGGATAGATAGCTGTTACTGCAGACTAAGTCAAGGCAAGGCAGGCAGTGCCAAAGCCATGCTGCAGGAGAGTTCTCTGGTGCAGCATAGAGCATCACTGTTCTCTCTTTAAATTGTCATCTGAGATGAGAAGATCCTTGTCAATATGTGGTTTCTTTTCCATCAGACAACTGGCAGCAGGAGGAACTTGAGAAAAAAGCAACAAACAAAACCAACTTCAACTTCCCTTGCCTCTATTCTGGCAGGTGTTTGAAGCTGCACTAGCATGGATACGTTATGAACGAGACCAGAGAGAGCTGTTCCTGCCTGAACTCCTCTCCAAAATCCGCCTGCCCCTTTGTCGGCCTCAGTTTCTCACTGATAGAGTGCAACAAGACGACCTGGTGCGCTGCTGCCACAAATGCAGGTGAGGCCTGGACATGGGCTTAGAGGACCTTAGGGTGGATGGTGGCATCAGCGGAGGTAGCAGGAGTGTGCTTTAGCAGTCTTGGAGTTTGAAATTCTCCCTGTAGAATCACGTAGGTTGGAAAAGACCTCTGAGATTCCCAAGTCCAACCACTGAGCCATCCCCACCATGTCCACTGGAACACGTCTCCACATCTCCACAGTTCTTGAACCTCCAGGGACAGTGACCACATCACGTCCCTGGGCAGCCTGTGCCACTGCATTACCACTCTTTCAGAGAAGAAATCTTTCCTAATGTTTGACAGAATACCTACCTCACATAGCAAAATGCAAAGCACTCTCCCCATTTTTAACCTGGCAGCAGGGCTATGTTATAATCTGAAAGAATTGGCTGTGGTAGCAGAAAATCAGTTGCCTAAATCTGAGTTAAGACAGTCGGTTTTCATCACGGGGGGAACCAGGATCCACCAAACTCTTTAAAAATCTCACTTTGGTTTCAGAGATCTAGTGGATGAAGCAAAAGATTATCACCTCATGCCAGAGCGTCGACCACACCTCCCAGCATTCAAGACCCGTCCTCGGTGCTGTACATCGATTGCAGGACTGATTTATGCTGTTGGAGGACTTAACTCAGCAGGTACCTTGCACATCCTCTCCCCACAGTGAAGAGAGTTAATGTAGTTTGCTGAGTGGGACTATGAAATCATGAAGATCCCATTTTGCCCTTATACAAACATAGAATTGTTAACACTGGAAAAGATCACTATTATCTCCAAGTCCAACCCCAGCCCATCCCCACCATGCCCACTGACCACATCCCTCAGTGCCACATCTCCACAATTCTGGAACACCTCCAGGGATGGAAACCCCACCACTTCCCTGGCCAGTCTGTTCCAATGCCTGTCCACTCTTTTGGAGAAGAAATTTTTCCTAATATCCAACCTCACATGAAGCATTGGAGAGTTTTCTCCTTGCTGTGCAGCTCTCTGGCCTGTAATGCTCAAGGTTGCTATGATAATGCTATAGTTTAACATCTTCCCTCTAGAAATTCTGTCTTTGTCAGGCTTAGGACAGCTGTTCTGGTGTATCTCAAAGAACCAATGTATTGAGAAGGTGTCCATGCCCCTAACAACTTGTAGAACTTGGAAATACTAGGCTGAAGCTGATGACACTGCAGGATCACAGCTGCAGACACAGTGCACTTGTGTGACACCACTCCTATTATGATAAGGGGCAGAAAATATTAAACAGTCTGCTTGGAAAATGTCCACTGGAGTTTTAAAGATCTGCCAAAGAATGGCTCACTGAGGTAGGATCTGTGTAATGGGTCCATGCTGGGATGGCCGTTCTTCCTTCGCACCACAACGTGGGTGACTTAGAGGGAGGCTGTATTTCCAGAAAGCAGAAATACCAACGGATGTGGCATAATACAGGTCTCTGCTGCCCCTTGGAGACTACAGAAGGCCCCACTTGCTCAGCCTAGGACTGATCAAGCCTTGTTGCACAGAGCAGGCAGGGTTTGCACCACTGCAATCCTTTTGGCATCGCAGAGCGCAGCTGAATTTTCCACAGCAGCTCGCTACCACCATGCTGCAGAGGCTGAAGAATGGGTCTCCCCCTTTTAATTTGAGTAGCAAATTTTTATGCAGGTGACTCTCTGAACGTGGTGGAAGTCTTTGACCCCATTGCCAACCGCTGGGAGAAGTGCCAGCCGATGACGACGGCACGGAGCCGTGTTGGTGTGGCCGTGGTGAATGGGCTGCTCTACGCCATCGGGGGGTACGACGGGCAGCTGAGGCTGAGCACTGTGGAGGTGTACAACCCTGAGATGGATTCCTGGTCCAAAGTGGAAAGCATGAACAGCAAAAGAAGGTATACAGGCTCACTGAATGTATAGTTTTGGAGCTGGAGGGGTAAAAGTGAGGTTGTAGGAAGGCTGGGGAGTGATGGTGGATGCCAAATGAGGGGTCCTTGCATGGGGACATAGCAAAAAAATGAAAGAATAGAGGAATGGAGTGATATGGAAGCAGAAGTTTCCTTGATCACATCTTGGTCTGATTCTTGCTTTTAAGAGGGGACAACTTTCATCAACTCAGCAATACAGCATTAATTTACAGGGAAATCGTTTGGCAAGTAAAAAGCAGCTGAGCAGTAATTAGTGTGAGCTGTTAACTACAGAGGTCTTTTAGTTCTGATGACATATAGGAGCGAAGTCACATTAAAAGAGTGTGTTAACATTCTGTAAGGATTTGATCTCGAGTCCCAAGGAAGGGAGTCAGAGCTCCATTTCTTCATACTGTGATACTAGGTGGTAGATAAAGCACTGATGAGCATAGTGTAGGAAATTCTCCACTGCTAAGAGTAAGAATAAACCTGTTTTTTTAGTTTTAAATCTAGGATTGTTTTTCCCTACCAGAAAGCACAGGAGAATCATAGCTGAAAAAGAGAGGAAGATTTTGATAGCCCAGACACAGACATTTACAGCTAAGCAAAAGGTGTTTGGCTTTGACCAGAGCTGCCACAGTACATGACCACCCTAGGGATCGTTTTGTGGTTGGATTTGGGAGTACAGCCTGTGTTATTTTGATAACCCACCTACTAAGCTGTGTGATTATTGTCCTCCCCACCACAACACGGCAGCTGCTTCCATGTTTAAACATATTCCTGGCTTCCATGGGTTTTGCTGTGGTTTTCTTCACACTCATGCCTGGTCACTGAGAGCTGCTAAATTGCTTGCTGTTCTGCAAGCTTTGCAGTGCTTATTTATCATCATGGTTGGTCTGGTTTGTTTGTTGTGGTCTGAGACGTGGATTGCTTGGGAAGAGTGCACTGCAAGAGGCTGAGTATGGGAAATCTGAGGCACGAGGCTCTCAGTGGTGGCATCCCAGTGACTGCTGGTGCCACACTGCTTCACATGAGCGTGTCACAGGAACAAGTCCTGGCTGTTGTGGTTCTTAACTAAAGCTTCATGTCTGGCTCAGAGGCAGAGTTCATCTAAATTCCTAGAACCGTTTCCATCCTGTGAGATCACCCACATTTATAATTTGTAGCAGAAAAGATCAGTTTTTCCATAGCACTGAGGCTCCTGGGAGCTTTTCCCACAATGAGAGCAGAATGGGTGTCAGATGCCCTTGTGTAGGGGGAAAATCATAGAATCATGGAATGGCCTGTGTTGAAAAGGACCACAATGCTCATCTAATTTCAACCTCCCTGCTGTGTGCAGGGTCACCAACCACTAGACCAGGCTGCCCAGAGCCACATCCAGCCTGGAAAATCTCAGCAGCTGTACAAATCCCTTGGCTCTTGAAGTAGTGCTGAGGTTCTGCCCTTGAGAATTGTGTTTCCAAGGTTCTAGAAAGAGGTTTTTTGACTTCCCTTTCAAAAGTGGGATTCTAGCCTCTTACTTGAAGCATCCCATTTGGTAGCCTTTTGGACCCAAATAGGCAACTTAGAAGGTGTTGTGTGATGGTGTTCCAATGGGGTCGGGCACCTTCACCGAACCAGCTGTACATCCGACAGCACTCCTGTGTGTCCTGAGGCTGTGTGGCAGTGCCTCTGGCTGTAGAAAAGAATCATTAATGTTGGAACAGATCACTGACAACACCAAGTCCACCCCCCAACCTAACCCCACCATGCCCACCGACCACATCCCTCAGTGCCACATCTCCATTGTGCTTGTGCACCTCCAGGGGCAGAGACCTTAAGCCCCATCTAGTTTGAACCCCAAATCATTACCCACAGGAGACCCAGCGTTGTAAAGCTGGTGATTGTAGACAACAGATGAGGCAGATTGGGTGGATTTGGCACACTGCAGACTGTGAGGCCATGCCAAACCATCTGGTGGTTCTGCTGCTTGTTGCAGTGCGATGGGAACGGTGGTGCTGGATGGGCAGATCTACGTTTGTGGCGGATATGATGGAAACTCCTCGCTCAACTCCGTGGAATCCTATTCTCCAGAAACAAACAAGTAAGAGCTCTGTGTGCCCTAAAGCTTATCCTCCTGCTGCTGCCAGGGGTGTGCCATGCACAGTGTAATAGAGCCCTGTCAATAAAATAAACGTCGTGAAGTTAGATGGAAAGTATTCAGTACAATGTCCCTCCCAGCAGGAGGTGCAAGCAGACTAAACTAATGATTTATATACAGTAAGAAGTGAAGGGAGAGGTACTGAAAGCCAGCACTGGAAAGGCCTGCAGAGCTGTGACAGCCTGTGGAGCAGCTGCTTGCTGTGCTAACTTCTCTCTTCTCTTGGCAAGGTGGACAGTGGTGACCCCCATGAGCTCCAACCGCAGCGCTGCTGGTGTCACTGTGTTTGAGGGCAGGATCTATGTGTCGGGAGGGCACGACGGCCTGCAGATCTTCAACAGTGTAAGTCCATAGAATCATAGAATGGCCTGGGTTGAAAAGGACCACAATGCTCATCTAGTTTCAAACCCCCTGCTATGTGCAAGGTCGCCAAGTACCAGACCAGGCTGCCCAGAGCCACATCCAGCCTGGCCTTGAATGCCTGCAGGGATGGGGCATCCACAGCCTCCTTGGGCAACCTGTTCCAGTGCATCACCACCCTCTGTGTGAAAAACTTCCTCCTAATTTCTAACCTAAACCTCCCCTGTCTCAGTTTAAAACCATTCCCCCTTGTCCTATCACTCATAAACAGCCATTCCCTGTTCATGCAGTGTGTTTCTTCCCTGTGTATCCCCTGAAGCAGGATTTAGTGTGGGACAGACAAGGCTAATTCATCTGCCTGGGTGTGAGAATGCAGGAAGCAGTATCTGAACTGGGTTTTCATTCATGTGCTGCCCTCAGAAAGTTGTAATTAAGGGATTTGCAGGGAGCAGCAATAACTATTTCCACCTCGCCCAGCAGATCAAGTGCAGATGATTGTCTGCAGCCTGAAGTAACGCAGAGCCAAGATCTGCAAATCTGCTTGTCTCAGCTCATTCCTGAATTGGATGAGTTTGGAGCAGTGCTGAAGTTCTTGCAGGAGGGGTCCATCTAATGGTCTCTCCAGAAACACAGGGGATACAAAACCTCGGGGGGGGAGATTGGGGGTTTCTACTCTGCTCCACTCCCCTCTCCTTTCCTTTTGTCTCCTCATGTAACCACTGCAACACACTGCCTGGGAGAGCAGGGAGTCTCACTTAGAGAGATCTTTGAGGACAGCCTGGGCTCACACCCTTTGGGTCTCACAGCTTTGGCTGTTTCTGTTTTGGGGCACCCACATAATTTTGCATGCAGGAGGAAAATGGTAAATTTTCCTTTTGCTACCTACAAATCATAGAATCATTAAGGTTGGAAAAGACCTTTAAGATAATTTATGTCCAGCACCAAACCAACTCACTGTGCCCACTGACCATAACCCTCAGTGCCACATCTCCAGATTTCTTGAACACTTCCAGGGATGGTGACTCTACCACCCCCCTGAACAGCCTGTGCCACTGCATTATGACTCTTTTGGAGAAGAAAATTTCCCTAATACCCAACATGAACCTTCCCTGGTGCAGCTTGAGGCTCCTGTACCTCTTTAAAACACAACCCAGATAAATGGAGAGGGAGGCAAAGGGAGCTGCATCTTCTGTGGTTTGTACAGCAGTGGCTGGTGGCACCCAACTCATTAAAAAAATTGAATAGCATTATGAAATTGGAATATATGAAATCAAGAGACAAGGTTAGGATGGATGGGGCTCTGAGCACCTGATGGAACTGTGGGTGTCCCTGTTCAGTGCAGGGGAGCTGGACTAGATGGCCTTTAGACTTCCCTTCCAACTCAAATGATTCCATGATTCTCCGATAACACCATTTTCCTGCACAGCTTGCCGTTTGATGACAAAAGTGTCTGATGTCTCTGTATGTTCTTGGATGTCTGTCTGCCTTGAGCTTCCCCTTGATGCTGTGCCATCCCTGTGTCTGTAGGTGGAGTACTACAACCAACACACGGCCACCTGGCACCCTGTGGCCAGCATGCTCAACAAGCGCTGCCGTCACGGAGCAGCCTCACTGGGAAGCAAGATGTTTGTCTGCGGGGGTTACGACGGCTCTGCCTTCCTCAGCATGGCTGAAGTGTACAGCTCTGTGGCAGATCAGTGGTATCTGATTGTCCCCATGAACACCCGGCGGAGCCGAGTGTCCCTGGTTGCAAACTGTGGCCGCCTCTACGCCGTTGGGGGTTATGATGGACAGTCCAACCTCAGCTCGGTTGAGATGTACGACCCGGAGACCAACCGTTGGACGTTCATGGCCCCGATGGTCTGCCACGAGGGGGGGGTCGGTGTGGGCTGCATCCCTCTGCTGACCATCTGAGGAGGCAGCAGTGAGGAGCTGTCTTGTAAGCGACAATCGTGGGAGAGCTCCAGCCGGCGTTTCCCGCTCTGATAGCCAGAGAGATCCATCTCCAGGTGCTCAAACACACACAAAACTTGACACGACCACCCCCACCCTTGGCTCTTGGGCTGAGGCTCCAGAAGGATCAACGTTTTTTGAACTACAGTGCGAGTGTGAATGTGCTGCTATGAGCAAGGAGCTGCCCTCCTCCTGCTTTTGCCTCTGCACAGCCCCACAGCTGAGCAAATCCTTCCTCTCCCCAACAGCACTGAGCCATGTTGGCTATGCTTTGGCCAATGCTGGGAAGTGTTGTTGTGGGTTGGGAGGGAACATTCCTAATTGCGACACAGAACGGTTGCTTCCATGACTTGAAGATCACCTGTACACCTGTCAGCAGCAAGGACCCCAGTATCCCAAGAGTTTGATCAGCAGTGGTTTTTTTGGGTTGTTTCAGCTTAATGCTGGCCACGTTGAGATCTTACCCAGTCTACCAAAGCAGGCAGAACCTACCAATGTAGGCCCATAAGTCATATCCAGGCTCTGCAAGTTCGGGTGCTTCTTGCACAAGTCACTGCTGGCTTCTCCAAATGCTTTCTTCAGCTTAGATGGGGAAAATTTCTCCACAAGAGCCACACGATGGAGAAACTGGGAGGAGAAAAAGTCAGTTAAACCATCGGAGCGTTTTAGCAAACATTGGAGGAAGAATGCCAAAGGTCAACCACACTAAGCAACAGCCTTGGGATTTCAACAGAGGAGGCAAACCAAGGTGTTAATTATCAGGATACCCCTTAATGGTCAATAGATGTCACCAAAAATAAGCTTTGGCTTTTCTACGTTGGTATGTAAGAGGCAGCTGATACAGAGTGGCCAGGATCTTTAAGGAGGAGAGGGATCACTGCCTCTGTTTCTAACAGCACTGGAGATCTGTGGCTGTGTTGGGGCAGCTGCAATTCAGCTCTGGGGAGCAGAGAAATCTGCAGCAGCATCCCTGCAAGGCACTGGTGGGAAACCACACTTCCCCAGCGTGTGTGAGATCAACGTCTTGGGGTTTTTGTGCTGGGAAAGGTCTTGGCAATGTGCTTATTTCATGGCAGCCACGCAAGGAAACTTCCTGTGGCCAAACTGTGGCAGGGCTGCAGGTGCTGCCCCATGTCCCTGCTTGTCCCGTTGGGCTCAGCACCACTTCCAGCCCTTCCTTTGCTATTTTCAACCCTACCCACTGCAGCCAAAGGGAGCTGCTGCTGCTGGCTTGGTCCTCCCCAGAACCAAACCCACCAAGCACCACTTGCCTGCATCAGCCCTCCAGCATTCCCCTGCATGAATGTGAATGGTGAGAGCCACAGCTCCCTGCCCACCAGCACAGCCACAGGGCAGGGAGCCCCTCAACACTACGCCCACTGCAGGCAGCGGGGGGCTCAATGCTGCCCTGTGTTTCCAGGAGCTTTGGTGTCCCCCCACCCAAACCCATGCTTCTCCTTCATAGCTGACTCCCAGCTCGGGATTTTAACTTTGGGTGTATATGTGGATGTCTATATATTCAGGTACTGTGTATATTTTAGCTATATATAATGAGCATATCTGGCTATAAATGTGGTTTGTCAGTATGTATTTCCTCTGTGTACATACATCAGTGGATGGGTTCACTTGGTGAATTCATTGTGAGGTTTCCGTGCTGCTAAGACACTTTAAAAAGGAAAAACAAAACAAAACACGAGTATTGCAATGGAAATGAAGCTGCTTTGGCATCCTCACCTTGCTCCTGGGTGGGAGGAGAGACGGGGGAGCTTTGGGCAGCAGTTTTAGCCCTGGATCTGCATGATCCCCTCCCTGCCAGGAGGCTTGGAAGGAAGTGGGAAGGCTTCCAGCTGGGAGCTGCCTGGCTGCAGGCTCTGGCAGGGAACAGACTTTGTTTGTACAAGCATCAGCTCCTAGCTCTGAGCAGAGTGAGAGGGACTCAGAATAACTCTGGGGCTCCATGTGGGGTTTTGCTCTCTGCATTTGGGAAAGCGAGACGTGGGCAGGCTGGGAGTTGGGCAGAGAGGAGGATGGTGAGGTTCAGCAAGGGCGAGTGTGGGGTCCTACAGCTGGGGGGGAGTAACTGCATGCATCAGGATAGGTTGGGGGTGAGCTGGAAAAGAGCTTTGTGGGGAAGGACCTGGGTGTTGTGGTTGACCAGCAGTTGGCCGACCATTGACCACAACTGTTGTCCCCAGTTTATGGTCACCTTGAGTGCATTGCAATGGGACTCTGGGGGGTGCATTGCACACAGCGTGGCCAGCAGGGTAACTGGTTCTCCTGCCTTCTGCTCTGCCCTGGTGAAGCCACATCTGGAGCACTGAGCCCATTGCTGGGCCCCCCAGTTCCAGGCAGACAGGAAACTGATGGGGAAAGGCTGAGAGCCCTGGGTCTGTTCAGCCTGGAGAAGACAGAGGGGATGTTATCTCTCTGGAGATGTTCAAAACCCACCTGGGTGCTTTCCTGTGCAACCTGCCCTAGGGAACCTGCTTTAGGAGGGGTTGGACCAGAACTTCCATTCCAACCCCTGTGCTTTTGGGATTCTGCACCCCACGCATGGCAAAGCATACAGCCCCAAAGCAGAGCCCTTTTAATTCCCACCGCCTCTCCAGCTGCTGAAGGAGGAGGATGGGAACAAACCCCACAAATCTTCTCTGCGGCTCTCCAAGAAAAACAGCAGCAACCCGATCCCTTCCCGTGCGTGCCTCCCAGCCCTGTGTTTGTCCTGGAAGCGAAGCCCCATGGACGTGCTGCTGCTGGGTGTGCTGCTGCTGGGTGTGCTGCTGCCCACCGCCCAATTATCCACCTCCCCACTGCCCCCCACACCACGCGAGCTGGCCCGCACCGTGCTGGAGGCACACGGGCGCGATGCGGGCAGCAGGCTGAGGCTGCTCAAGCTGCAAGGAGTCACCAGGACGGTAGGAACCTCGCTCGGGTTTCCCGTTGGGTTTTGGGAAGAGGGAGCCTTCTCGCTATGCCAAATGCTGTCGTTTCCTTGCAGAAGTTTGACTGGGGCACGCACTTCACCATCAATCTCACCGCTCGTGAGACCGCCTGCCCTGCCGGCCCCACTGCGCCACGCGGTGCTGCATGCAGAGCCCGGCCGGGCCAGGTGGGTGTGGGGCAGGGTGTGGGACCCCCTCCCAGCACTGCTCCCTCCTGATCCCCCCATCCTGCAGCAGGTCCAGCACTGCGTGGCTCAGATCTCCGTCTTTGCCTTCCTGCCTGACGTGCCGCTGTCGTTGCTGGAGTGCAGCCGGCAGACGGTGAGGGCTGCATGAATTCCTCTTCCCTGCATCCCTTTCACTTTGGGGCTGAAGCTGACCCCCATTTCATATCCTTCAGCCCAGCAGCTCAGGGCAGCCCCGCTCCCGAAGCCGGCACAGCCCTGCAACTCCACAAGCTGTTGGCCTCAGGGAGCTGGCACCGTCCTGAAGCCTGTGAGCGCATCCATCCTGATGCAGCAGGGGACATGCAGATCTCATCCATGGACCCCATCCCATAGACCCAGGGGCTAAAATAAAGATGTTCCAGGGCTGTGTTGTGTATGTGATGCCTCGCTCCCATCCCACCATCCTGCAGTAGAATGGAAATGAGGTTGCACAAAGCTTTTGGGTCATGATGGGGTGGCTGCAGCCCCACGTGCAGCATCTCCATCCCAACTGCCAGTACCACGTTGGCCAACCTGTGGGCTGGTAACAGATGGCAGCATACAGGGCTAGTCCACATGGCTGGCTCAGAGCCTGGGGGGCTGTTGCAGGGGACAGGAGGGGACCAGGGCTGCTGCATGGGGGGTACCTGGGAGCACAGCCCCTGTGGTTTGGGGACAGAACGCTGTGGGGATGGTAGGGAGTTGAATGGGAAATGGTTTGTGGGAGTGGGTGGGTCAAAAAGCCTTTACATGGGGGTGGGGACAGGGATGGGAAGGAATTCTTGAACCCAATGGCACCTGTCCCATGGGTCTGGGGGTGCCAGGAAACTCCACTGTCCCTAGGATTCAGACCATAATGTGATGGAGCCTCATCCCAATGGGATGGAGTCAAATCCATCCCTCCATCCCAGTTCTGGCACTGCCAGTCTGCTCCCTGGGGGTCATTTTGTGGCCATGTGGCCTCTCAACCAGAGCACCCCATGCCCTGCAGCACGGACAGGGATGTGGGATGCAGCCTGGAGTGGGACAGGGCCCCACAGCCCATGGGCACAGCCACATCCCCACCACAGCTTTTCCCCCACGGATAACTGCCACGTTGTGGCTGCTCCCCCTGCGCCCACGTTTCCGCATTGCCCAACTTCAGGGCCAATAAAAGGCATTGGGAGCAATGAGTGGGCACGGGGCGAGGATGCTGAGCTGCTGGGTGCTGGTGCTGGCGCTGCTGGGGGGGGCCTGCGCCCTCCCGGCCCCCCTGGGCTACTCCCAGGCTCTGGCCCAGGCTGTGGACTCCTACAACCAACGGCCTGAGGTGCAGAATGCCTTCCGGCTGCTCAGCGCCGACCCCGAGCCCGGCCCGGTGAGTGCATGTGGGCACAGCGTGGGGACAGCGTGGGGATATCAGGGAACAGCGTGGGGAAACCGTGAGGACACGATGGGGAGGTATTGGGGAAGGCATGGGGATGGTGTGCAGACATCATGGGGACAGCGTGGGGACACGATGGGGAACATCCTGGGAATGGCACGGAGACATGGGAGGGACACCATGGGGACAGTGTGGGGATAGGATGGAGACACCGTGCGGACAACTTGGAGGCACTCGGGGGAACATCATGGGGACATCCTGGAGGCAACATGAGGACAGCATGGGGTCACCATGGGGATGGCACGGGGACATCAAGGAGACACCTTGGGAACACTTATGGGACACTGTGGGAATGTCTTGGGAATGTTCTGGAGGCATCCTGGGAAAATCCTGGGGACACCTTGGGACATCAGTAGGACATCATGGGAACAGCTTGGGGAAGGCACGGGGTCGGCGTGGGGACATCACGGGGACAGCCAGGGGACGTCAAGCGGGGGATGCAGAGCTGCTCCCCCTGCCTGGCTCTGAGCCATGCCTGGAGCAGCCGGGGGTGCCGGGTGGCTGCCACCACGCTGTCCCCTGCCCCACAGAACGTCCAGCTGGGCTCCCTGCACAACCTCAACTTCACCATCATGGAGACGCGGTGCCAGGCGCGCTCGGGCGCCCAGCTCGACAGCTGCGAGTTCAAGGAGGACGGGGTGAGCACCGTGCTGGGCTGGTGGGTGCTGGGGGGCTGCCAGGGGGAGGGACAGCCCCATGTTCAGTGTCCCCACTGCTCACAGCTCGTCAAGGACTGCGCTGCGCCCGTGGTGCTGCAAGGCGGCCGCGCCACGTTCGATGTCACCTGCGTGGACTCCATGGCTGACGTGAGTGGGGACACAATGGGGGGTGGTCCCAGGGGTGTTTGGGACCCCCAAGGGCCAGGGTCCCATTCCCCCGTGGATGACAACACTTCTCCCCACAGCCTGTCCGCATCAAGCGCTTCTGGCCGCTGGTGCCGGTGGCCATCAACACAGTGGCTGCAGGCATCAACCTCTACAAAGCCATCAAGAGGAAATGAGCCGTCCCCAGAGCCACTGTCACCACTTTCCCTCCACAGCCTCCCACCCAATAAAGCTGTTTTCTGGCCATGCTGTGTCTTTGCTGTGTGTCTCCTCTGAGTGATGCTGTTGGAGATGGTCCCCATGCTGCCCCCACGGTGCCACCCGCTCCCCATCCTGTCCCACAGCATGGATATGGGACCTGGGGACACCCAAGGAGACCCCAGATGTGGATTGGGCATGGGGAGACCTGCAGTATGCAGTGCCTGGGGGTGTGCACAGGGCTGCATGAGTCCATGGGGCCTTTGTAGGGGATGTAAGGGCAAAAGAGGGGACTGGAGGAGGATGTCCTCAGGGCCCTGCTGCAGCCACAGCCATCCAGCTCCAGATCCCATGGCATGGGGTCCCCATGCATCCCTATGTCCCCATCCTAAAATGCTGGTGACAGCCTTGGTGGCAGGGCTGGGGACAGCCCTGGTTGCCCCTGGATGGGGCTGCAGCATGGGGGTGGCCTTGGGTTCAGAGCCCCAGTGTCTGAGGACAAAACACCACGAGACAGTGATGGGTTGGATGGGAAAATGCTCATCAGGGCTGGGAGGCTCAGCAACCCTCGTTACAGAGGACAAGAATGGGGCCCTAATGGCATCACCCCCCTGCTAGGAAATGCCCTCACGGTGCTTGGGGCCGTGCATGGTGACTGTGGTGACCTTCAACCCCGTGCCTCAGTTTCCCCATCAGGCAGTGAGAGGAGAGCCCAGGTGACACTCGGTGGCCACACGTGGCCCCATTTATTCATTCAGCCAAAGCGCCCGCTGCCCTGGATGGTGATGGTGAACTTAGGGCGGAAGCGCCGGATCTTGCTCAGGAAGCGGCCAAATCGGCCCCGCTGGACGAGAACGGGCTGTGGGGTGAAGGCTGGTGTCACTGAGGCAGTGGGAGCCCACCTCTGGGACCCCACATCCGGAGCCCCAGACCTTGGACCCCCACATCTGGAGCCCCACAGTCGGGCCCGTGCACATGCCCAGGACCCTTCATCCCTTTCTCTATCGTCTCAATCACGGAGACATCAGAGCAACCCCAAAGCTTTCCAGGGACCCGTCACACTGCAGGGCAGGATGAAAGGTGCCAGCATCAGCAACCCACCCCACGGACCCCACACTCACATCTGATGAGGCGTCTCTGCAGCGTAGATTGATCTCAGGAGTGTCCTGCAGGATGGTCACCGGCCCCGAGCAGTCCCTGATGACCTGGGGACACTCACAGTGTCACCTCACGCTCCCCAGCTGCCCTCCCCACCATAGCCTTCCCATCCTCACCCCATTCTCCTTGAAGTCGCAGTCATCGATGGGCGTCTGTGCCCTTGGGACGCACTCTGTCTCCATGATGGTAAAGTTGAGCGTCCGCAGCGTGCTCAGATCGACGCCCTGTGAGGAGTGGTCACGTCCCCCCCATGGAGCAAAGCCCCCTCCAACCATCCCCTTTGTATTCCCAAAGTGTCCTCACAATATTCCCATGACGTCCCCATTGTGTCCCCATGAAGTCTCCAAGGTGCTCCCATAGTTTCTCTACGATCTCCCTGTGGTATCTCCATGGTACACTCAGGATGTCCCCAGTGTGTACTCCAGTTGTCCCCTTGTCATCCCAATAGTGTCCCCATGATGTCCCCAGAGTGTTCTCATAGTATTCCAACTGTGTCCCCAGGGGGTCCCCAAGATGTTCCCATTGTGCCCTCCTGATAACCCCATGCTATCCCTATGCTGTCCCCATGCTGACCCCAAGATGTTCCCCAAGATGTGCTCATTATGTCTCCATGCTGCTCCTAGGATGGCCTCAGGATGTCTCCAGGCTGACCTCAGGATTTCCAACCCATAATGTTCCCCATAGTGTCCCCATGCTGTCCCCATTGTGTCTCCATGCTATCCCCATGCCTTCCCCAGGATGTCCTCAATATCTCCCCATAGGGTCTTCATGATTTCCCCATGCTGTTCTCTGATATCTCCAAGGTGTCCCCACTATGTCTCCATGTTATCCTCAGGATGTCCCCATGCTACCCCCATGCTGTTCCCAGGATGTCTCCATGCTACCCCATATCTTCCTCAGGATGTCCTCAATACCTCCCCATAGTGTCCTCAGGGTGTCCCCATCTTATCTCCATGCCATCCCACGCTTCCCCCACTGTCCTCATAGGGTCTTTCCCAAGGTGCTCCTACAGTGTCCCCATAGCGTCTCCATTCTATCCCCATTCTATCCCCATGCTGGCCCCCCAATCTCCCCATGATGTCCCCACGCTGTCCCCACATGCACTCACCGGGCCAGGCTCGGGGTCGGCGCTGAGTAGCCGGAAGGCATTCTGCAGCTCAGGCCGTTGGTTGTAGGAGTCCACAGCCTGAGTCAGTGCCTGAGGGTAACTCAGTGGGGCCGGGAGGGCACAGACTCCCCCAAGCAGTGCCAGCACCAGCACCCAGCAGCTCGCCATCCTCACCCTGTACCCATCCCGTGCCCCAAGTGCCTTTTATCATCCCCAAAGTTGGGCAATGAGGAAGGAGAAGCCACAGTGCAGCCGTTATCTGAAGTGGGGACGTGGCTATCCCCATAAGGCACAGGACACATCCCCTGCTTTGCTCCATGCCTCTCTCCCTTTGGTCACGGCTATGGGGACAACCTCATGGCACAACCAGAGGGACACACACACACACGGTCACAGCAGGCAGAAAGGACCTTTATTGGGGACACTTGGTGACAGCCACGCTGGGGCTGCTCATGGCCGGGGCGTGCTGGTGATGTTCAGACGTCCGCGGACGTAGAAGGGACTGCGCTGCCGCAGGCGCTTCCTGATGCCATCCCACCACTCCCGGATGCGGGTCCACCAGTTGCGGATGGGCTGCAAGGAGAATTGGTTTTGTGACCCTCGGGGTGATGAGGGAACCTTGGTGGCCTCATGGTGGGGGATGAGGTCTCTCACCTGCACCCTCAGTGGTCCGCAGCGCAGCTCAGCAGTGGGCTGCTGCTCCATGGATACGGTGCCCACGCAGCGCTGCAGGGCCTGTGGGGAGTGAAGGGTTGTGTGGGGCAGCCCCCACCACAGCCTCGGTTTCTTCCTTGGCCACCCACCAACCCTCAGCCCCATGGGATGGGTCCTCACCCCCAGCTCGCAGCTCCTGCAGTCAACCCCAGCTGGGCATGGGGCATCCTCCACAAGGAAGCTCACCTCCCGCTGATGCTTCGGGATCCCAGCCTGTGAGAGGACAAGAACCAAAGGGATGGGATGAGACCCCCAGGCCCACAGACCCTCCAAGCCAGCCCTCAGCCCTGGGATCCAACACCCCAGCACTCACCCAGCCGGGTTGGGGTTGTGCTGCCCGCAGCCGTAAGGTGCATGGACCTGAGATCCTCTGGTTGAGCAACCTCACAGCTGCCAGGATGGCATCCAGGTAGTTGGTGGGCCAGCGCCAGGGCCAGGATGGTGAGATGGATCCATACTGTTTTGGGGTGATGGGTCCATCCAGCTTGGGTGTAGTGGAATCATCCAGCCCGGTTGGTGTGGATCCATCCAACCCTGGCGAGACAGATCCATCCAACCCAGGTGGGATCGATCCATCCAACCCAGGTGGGATTGATCCATCCAGCCCCGGTGCAGCGGATACGTCCTGCCCTGGTGTGACAGCTCTGGATGACCCCAGCAGGAGCAGCAGCAGCAGCAGCACCTCGGAGGACCACATCGTGCTCATGACCACTCACAACCTCCTCCTCTGCGATGGTGAGCGCTGTGCCGGTGCTGCTGGAGCCCCTTTATGGCCATCCCAACATCTCGGGGCGTTCCCAGGAATCCCCGCACCCTGCACCTGGGGGCAGCCCAGCCTCTAAGAGGGTCAACAAACCCCCCTATCTCCACGATGGCACCGGGGATTTCCAGTGCATGAGGATGTTTGCGGCACAGGAGAGGATGGCCAAGTCTTGCATCAAGCCTACTGGGTCCACGCCAGTCACATTAACTTCCCACACCTGGGAAGTTTCACTGAAGGCCATAAATCTGTCCACAGCTCTTCAGGAGCCACCCTGCAGCACGGCACATCTGGCACCAGGCCCAATGCATGGTATGGGAACAGCTTGGGGGACATCATGGGGACACTATCGCATGTATTGAGGACAGCGTGTGGACAGCTCAGTGATAGCATGGAGACATAATGGGGACAACACGTGGACAGCTTAGGGACATCCTAGGGACATTTCTGGGATGTCTAGAGGACAGCATGGGGACAGCCTGGTGATAGCATGGAGCCATAATGTGGACACCATGGGGATGTAATGAGGACATCTTGGGGAAGGCATGGGGTAACATGGAGATGTAATGGAGGCACCATGAAAACACACTGGGGACATCTTGGGGACATTGAGAGGACATCCTGGGAGTATCCTGGAGACACAATAAAGACATTATGGGAACACTGTGTGGACTTCGTGGAGACACAGTGCAGACACGGTGGGGACACCTTGTGGACATCATGGGAACACTCTGGGGACACTCTGGGGACACCAAGAGGAGAACAGGGTTGAGGATGAAGGGGCCATGGCAGGGGGCAGCTGGGGAGCACGAGGTGATACCATAGATGATGGATAAAGGGACAGGGGGAGGTCTTAGACATGTGCAGGGGCCCAGATGTTGGGTCCCCAGTATGACACTCCAAATGTGGACTCCCAGCTGCCACATCCACATCTGAGGTCCTCTTGGCTGTCCCCAGACCCCAGCTCATGCTTAGGAACACAATGGGGAGCAGTTGGCACCATTTGGGCAACATGGGACTTCCCCCTGATACCCCAAGAACTGTCCCCATCAGCATCACTCAGAAGAGAGACAGAAAAGACAGAGTGGCTGGGAAACACCTTTATTGGATGGAAAGCAGCAAGGGGACATTGGTGACAGCAGCTCTGGGGACGGCTCATTTCTTCTTGATTGCCCGGAAGAGGTTGATGCCTGCAACCAGAGTCCTGATGACCACTGGCCAGAAGCGCTTGATGCGGACAGGCTGTGGGAAGAAGTGTTGTCATCCACGGGGAAATGGGACCCTGGCCTTCGGGGGTCCCAAACACCCCTGGGACCACCCCCCATTCTGTCCCCACTCACGTCAGCCACGGACTCCACGCAGGTGACATCGAACGTGGCGCGGCCGCCTTGCAGCACCACGGGCGCAGCGCAGTCCTTGACGAGCTGTGAGCAGTGGGGACACTGAACACGGGGCTGTCCCTCCCCCTGGCAGCCCCCCAGCACCCACCAGCCCAGCACGGTGCTCACCCCGTCCTCCTTGAACTCGCAGCTGTCGAGCTGGGCGCCCGAGCGCGCCTGGCACCGCGTCTCCATGATGGTGAAGTTGAGGTTGTGCAGGGAGCCCAGCTGGACGTTCTGTGGGGCAGGGGACAGAGTGGTGGCAGCCACCTGGCACCCCCGGCTGCTCCGGGCATGGCTCAGAGCCAGGTAGGGGGAGCAGCTCTGCATCCCCCGCTTGACGTCCCCTGGCTGTCCCCGTGATGTCCCCACGCCGACCCCG